TATCCCAACAGCTTCACAAGGTTGGGTAAGTGTTTATATATAATGGAGTATCACCTTGATGTTTTACGTTGGTGTTGTATTTGTATTAAGTTTTAGCATGTTTCGAAACATTGATTTGGAAGTCTGTTTGGAAGTTCAGTGGCAAGAAACCAACAGCACAAGAATTTATTTGCGTGCTAACGTTTCGGCCATTAGTTTCAGAGCTGCCTTTGGCATTACTTTTTAAGACCAGCAATTGTTGCATAGCATACATTGCATTGGAGTGGGGAACCTGAAACCTTCCAGATGCTACTGTAGTGCAAGTCCCATCAGCCCCAGTTATAATGGCCCATGGTCAGGGGCTGATTGGTGCTCTAATCCAGAAATATCAGGAGGGCTACAGGTTCCCCATAGTTACATTTTCTTGGTCTAATCTTAGAAGACAGCAATGCAGGAAGCCAGTCTGTTAAACACTCTCCCTGTGTCACCAGTTTCTCAGCAGACTAAACCTCAGCAAATGTAATACGTAAGCACCTTTGAACCTGTTGAATATAAAGGCTCCACTACTGTTTAACTGTTGTTATGCCACTTCTCGGGACGCGGGTGGCACTGTGGTTAAAAGCCTCAGCGCCTAGGGCTTGCCGATCACATGGTCGGCGGTTCGAATCCCCGCGGCGGGGTGCGCTCCCGTTGTTCGGCCCCAGCGCCTGCCAACCTAGCAGTTCGAAAGCACCCCTGGGTGCAAGTAGATAAATAGGGACCGCTTACTAGCGGGAAGGTAAACGGCGCTGGCCACGTGACCTGGAAGTGTCTCCGGACAGCGCTGGCCCCCGGCCTCTTGAGTGAGATGGGCGCACAACCCTAGAGTCTGTCAAGACTGGCCCGTACGGGCAGGGGGTACCTATGCCACTTCTCATAGCACATTGGGATGCTTCCTTGTGAGTAGTGCAACTGAACAGTGGTGTAGCCTGGGGGAGTCACAGGGGTGATTGATTGCTCTGAGGGGAAAATTGTTCGGGGTGCAAAATTTCAACACCCGGTGCTGCCTCAATACAGCTGTGCGCTTCCATCACTGGGCTCTGTTGACAACAGCTTCTCTATTCAAACTGGGAAGTGACCTTTCCAGACAACAGAACAACTTTTCTTAATTCTGCAGTTACCATCTTCTGGGTGATGCGGACGCTGTTAGGCAGTTGAATGTGCATGCATACTCCATCCCCCCGGCCCCCCGGCAGCCCTGGGTGCTGGCAACCCACACTATGCCACTGCAACTGATTGTCACACTGCTTCTCAGCTGTCAGATTGGTTACAACTCTTATCAGCTATTCAGGTACTGTTATGTGTTGGGAACATCACAGGAAAACGAACTCATTTTTAACACATAATTACATTATTGCAAACACAACTGAAAATGAGACATAATCAGGGACCCAAATGCTTTGCAGTTCCTAGGATATGTTTGGAAGGTGCCAGGTTGGTACACAGTCAATTACTTATGTTATAAATGGTGTTGTTCTCTCACCTTTTGAAAGTCATTATTAGTGCACAAAGAAAATAGGAAGTTAATAAAGAAAGGGACTCAAGGATAAAGTACTACTAACAGAAATGCATGTAAGGTGGGATATGCATGAAAAAAGAAGTCTGTGAATCAAAAATTGGTGAAAACAAAAGTATAGCATACATGAGTACTGAAGGATTAGACATTACAAAGATTTTAAAGAAAACCGTACACATACTCTCCTCCATTTTAAAAAATAATATCAATAATTCACTATCCTGTTCTAACTGCCTCAATTATTTAACATGTTGTTTTGAGTAAGACACAGAATAAAAATACTGCCCATTAACCCCTGATTCTAAATACTTTTACTTTGTTTTGCTGGCACTTGCTTCCAAATAGGATTAAGACGGCATATCAGTTATCCAATAAATAACTGTTTTAACACTAAATCATGGCAACCCACCCTGTATCCTCTTCATAATGGTACAATAATAATTTCCTATCCTGAGGAACTGTATTAGCTTTTACAGTGTGAAGAGTGGTGGGAAGCTGATAGTAAAAAATGTATTAGTTGAAATGATTACCTTGGAACAATGAACGTTTGGTCTTACAAACAACTGCAGAAATAAATGTTGAAATGACTCTGAGGTTTACCGGTAGATGTAGGAAAAAGGGAATGGGATTAACCCAAAGTAAATAACCATAAGGATTAAAAAACTGTAGTATTAACATATAGTTTAAAATATAGTTTAAAATGCTTTAAACGTTTATCAGTGAGTCAAGTATTTGTGCTGAAATTTTACTTAAACAGCAATTATGAATTTGTTAGGTACTTGTATTAAGCCAACTACTGCACCATGGGAAAGGAAGCTGAATTAATTCAGTATCAGGACACACAATCCTATGTTCCTTGTTCTGTTTTGTTCACCACTGTAACTTAACCTGAGCTATTGGAAATAGCATAAAGGACCTGTTTTGCATGAAAAGAAATCTGTATTTATTCTGATGCAGCATTAGGGGTTGAAGCCTTGCTTTGTTGGCTTCTTTTTTGTCAGCTTTACACTGAACAGAACCTCACTAATCAGATATTAGGAGAACTAACAACACTCTGTAAATACCTTTTGAAATTTGGTGGAAGAAAAATATGTTGGGGGGGAAATTAGATAGGTTCCTCTGCAAAGCTGTAAGTGAAATTGCACCTTTAACTATGGATTTTTACAAATATACCAATGCACATATATTTTACATTTTCACTTAATCATACTTTCAGGATAGTAAACCCCTAATATCAATGGACTTTATTTCATATGTGCTTAGAGTTGCAGGCTCATCTTTGAACAAATACATTCTAAGGTTCAGATTCCTTACATAATAAATACGGTAACTGTATAACCACTTCCTCAGTCTAGTCTAGTCATGACTATTGCATGGCTTTGAGCAGGTAACTATTAGCATCAGTGCATGTGAATAACACACTGTGTGAGGGGCAACCCCACACCTAGCAAAGCATTTCACCTTGGGCTGAGTTTACTACCTCAGACAAAGGAGATGGTGCCCCCCTTTCCATTTTCCTTCGGAAGTTGAGTGAACTTTACTTCAGTAGTACAGCATCTCCCATCACACTGAAGGGGAACAGACTTGCTTAGGGGATCCAGGGACGTTGAGGGTGGCAACACTCAATAGCTCCTGCTTAGGGTGTTATAGGAATTCTAAAGTCTCATATATATATAAATCAGTATTTTCTTACAAGGGGAAGAAAACGAGAGAAGGGCACAGCTTTGTCCTCCAACATTTTGCCACCACTCTCTGTCTCTGGTATCTGCCAATTGAGGTGACTGCTAATGCTGGGAGTGCCCTGTGACTGCAGTCTTTCATTAGAAAACAAAACCCTGACCAAATACATTTTAGTAAAATGGGTGAGTGGCAGATATTGCTATCACTTTAATAATGTCAAAAGAAAGGTAAACTGTTCTATATGCTATGAGAAAATCCAACTATTATATCCCAGAATCCTGGGAACTGTAGTTTGTTAAGGGTCTTGGGAATTATAGCTCCATGAGAAAGAAACTACAGTTCTCAGTATTCTTTGGGGAAAACTATGTGTGACATATTTACAATGCAATCCTATGCATGTCTACTCAAAAGTAGGTCCCATTGAATTCAGTACATCTTACTCCCATATACACATGTATTGGATTGCAGGGTATAAAGTGCTAGGACTTTTTAAAATAACTCAAAGTAAACAAAATATCTGTTTTCAATTTTGTTGAAAGACAGCTCAGTCATTGCCAATTTAGTATCATCTTATGAAGAAATAAAAAGCCATCAATATTTTATTACATTTCAGCAACTGCACTTTTCTTGTCGATCTCTGGAAAATCTCCAAACATCAAAATACGATCCTAGTGATTCAGATTAGGCCTGTCTCCATGGCTTTGCAATGCTACTGGTTAATGGCAATTATTTTACTGGCAAATCTAGCAGATCTAATGTTATACCACTTTGCACCCCCCCAAACCCCCCCCAGAAGAATTAGACAAGTCACTAGCCAGCAGTAGACTATCACATAGATAGCACAGAACAGGGTACCTTCACATCAACATGAAAACCAGGCTTGTGGGCCTAGATAGGAGTCAGGCCTGCAGGTCTGCCAGTCTCTTCTGTAGTGTTATACTGCCGCTCGAGTTGGCCGCCAATGGCATGGGCCCAGGGACACACAAAAATAATGTCTCTCTACTCTGGCTTGGAGCCCGCCTGCCTGTGTGCCAGGTAGGGCACACAGGCTCCTCTGGGCGCCTCAGCTCCCTCCTTAAGGTGACCGGCCAAGGGTTCAAGAGACAAGGGCGGCGGCGACACTGATGCAGCTCCTTGCCAACAGCACAAAGAAGCCTAGGTACGCCTCTGCATGGAACACTTGCAGAAATAGAAATTGGCCACCTTTGATCTACTCCCATTTTTCCCCCTGTGTTTTGCTGCATGGGAAGTGTTGAAATAAGGGACGTTTGGTAATTCTAGTCCCTGGTGATTTATGCTTCGAGTACTACAGTAGGCACGGCCGCCTGCCTTTGCTGGGGTGGGAGGTGGGGAGTACATCAAAAATGCCTCGTCAGCTGAAGGTCACGGAGACGTAATAATCTGCAGAGCCACTTTCCCTCCAGCTCTCTCGGTAATGGAATTAAGGCCCATTAATCTAGCGCGATGGCGAGAGCGGGAGGCGACTCTTCCTTAGAAGGGGCACTTAGAAAAGTCAAAGAACTATCTCTGTGGCGGGGAGGGGGCGAAGAAGGCCAGGGGGGTGGGCAGCCACCTTGGTCAGAGGTGGCGGGATGTTGTCTCTCTCTCTCTCTCTCTCTTCCCCCGCCCCTTCTCGAGTCCAGGTTTGATGCTGCAAGGCGTGTCCGAGGCTCTGCTCATGTGATGGAGCAGGAGGGAGAGGCGGGCGGGCGGGCGGGAGGACCAGAGAGGAGCTTGTTCTTTCCTCCCCCCCAGCTCTCTAAAGGAGTTTGCAGAAAGCTACTGGTTTCCTTCAGTCGCAGCTTGAGCGCTCTGCTGAGCGGCCGAGACTGAGGCGAAGGGCGCAGCTGCCTGGACAGCTTCATTATTGCTCTCCTCTCTTTTATCATTCCTGGGCGGGAAGCGTCGGGTCTGGGCAGCGGAGGTGAGAGACCGGCGTCGCGAAGCAGCCGCGCACCGAAGAGAGCGAAGCCATGGGAGCCGGCAGCTCTGCGGAGCAGCGGAGCCCGCAGGACGGGGCCACTGCAGCAGAGGAGTCCCAGCCCAGCAGCCCTGCGGGAGAAGCGCCCACGGCGGCGGCGGCGGGGGCCGAGCCGGAGCAGCCGGAGGATCCCGCCAAGGTACGAGCCTCGCTGCCATGCTGCGCGCCTGGGAGAGCGCTAGGGGGGCCGGGGGGTGTGTTTTGAGGCCGCTCCGCCTCAGTCAACTCAAACTTTCGGGGGGCGCCTAAGCACCTGCGAAGGGGCTGGCGGGCACCTGCCTCCCCTTCGCCCCCCCCCCGTCCGCGTCCTCTTCCACCCCCCCAAAAGGGGTGAAGTTTGGCGGGGTGGGGCGTGGCGCCCGCTCGGCTCGGCTCTCCTGAGGCGGGGAACTGCGCAACCGGCACCTCCGCAGTAATAAACTCCTCTCTTCCCTTTGTCTGTCAGAAGGGCGGCCAAAAAAAAGTACTTGGCGCAGGCGAAGGGCGGATGAGTAGCCGCCGAGGCGCTTCGGGGAGCCCCCAGGCCCCCCAGGAGCGCGGCCTGGCGTCGCCCCCCCCCGCAGATCACCTCATGCCCTCTTCCCTGGGCGCTTTTGGGGGCGCCCTATTGTATTTGGCTGTTTTGCATCTCGCCTAGTTTAGGCTCCTGTGCGCAAGGTATTGCGGTGGGGGGGGGGGAGCGAGTTAAGGCAGCCTCCCCTCTTGGTTTTCCTTTTGTGTGTACGTACGGATTGGTGTGAGAAAAGACCCCACCCTATGGCCGGACGGCAGGGAGTGGACTGTGCTGTGCCAGGACTGCAGTCCTGCAGTCAGCCAGGGCTTGGTGGTACCCAGGGCTGCTGCAGTTGTAGCCTCTTTTCTTTCTCGGAGGATGAAAGTGAGAGGTGTGTGTAATCCGAAAGTGAGGGGTGGGAGTAAGAAAACAAACGGGAAACCCAGGACTAGTCCCTTGGTGTTTTCTGCACTGACAAGTGTTTAAAAAACCAGCTCTATCCTGCCCCCTCCTCATATCGATCTGCTTCAAAGTACAGCACGTGTTCAGAATAGACAAGTTATTGAACATTCTTCAGTGTTGCATATTATATGAATAATGTGTATGCATTGGTTGCAGCAAGATACTTGTAAATGAATGCCTGCAGTTTCTAGAACTACAGATAGTCCTATAAGTAATAAGCTGTATCCTTAACTAACCAAATAATTTTACTGAATATCATCATAAAAGTTGCACATACAAATAGCAACAGAGAACTTAGAGAAGCAAAAAAGCTCTCTTAATACACATTTTCTGTGCACTTTTTTGAGTTACATTTTGCAGTTTTCTAGACAAAATTTCTTGTTTTGGATAAGGATGGTTTCTTGCATTATGCTATTTTCCCACCAATATTCCAATAAGTATTTTTCTTTACTTTTTAGAAAATAGTCAGGTTAATTAAGCACACTGATTTAGCTCAATAAAGTTTTTAAAAAACAATTTAGATACTTATTTTAAACTCTAGATGGAATATTTCAAGCTTGCTGTTTTCCTAATCTAATGTGTGGGTGTTTCTAAAGCTTGAGAACTGATTGTGACTTTGTTTTTGTGACCTTGAGTCTCAGATTTTTAACTCCCAGGAAGAATTTTCCATAGCTGCTGTCCTACAGTTTTCACTGTTGAGGGTGGTATTTTCAAAAGTGTTTTTAAAAAGAAGTTAAAATGGAACAAATAGTTTTAATAACATGAAAGAAATATGTCTTCTGATGACACCTTTCCAAAGAACAATTTCACAGTGTACGCACAGTTTGTTGCTGTGAGATAATTCAGCTACAGAAATGTAACTGCAGAAATCATGAAATGTGACCAAAGTATCCGACCAAGATGATAAAATAATGCTGGCTTCAAGCTTGAGAAAGAAAAATTCCTGCTAAGAAGGTCAAACCAGCGTCTCTTAAGCTATGTGAAAAAGCATAAATTATTTACTATGTTTCGAATCCTCTTGTACTTTAGGTTCCAGGAAGGGACTTACGCATTTTACCCACTTGATTCCAGTTGTTGGGAGAAAGATAAACAATATGATTATTTTAATATTAGCTGTGCCAGTGTCTAGAAAGAATTAATCAGAAAATGTTTATTCAGAAACATAAATATATTATTTTAAGTAACATCTAGCCAATAATAATACATTTTGAAATGCAGTTGTTTGCATGAAATCTTCTAGACCAGGGATAGGCAACATGGTGCCCTCCAGATATTGTGGACTGTAACTTGCCCTCAGTCCCAGTCAGCATGGCTAGTATGCAGAATGATATGCGTTGTAGTCCAAAACATATCGGGACCATCATTTTGGCTACTCCTGCGCAAGACCACATAAAATCAATTATACCACACCTCCTTAACCTGTTCAAGCACCAAAAAGCATGAGCTGCTAACAAAAGGACTTTATACTGAGTGAAAATAATGGAAAGTTCTGGTTCTTTCTCAAACTCCACTCCCATCACTTCCATACACTTCTGTCCACTGTTCAGGTCAGTGTCTCCAGCAGAGCCAGGCATGGCCAGGCCTGTTTTCTCAAACCTGTTCCTTCTTTCTGTTTTTCCAGATGGAGCCTCCAGTAACATTTTCCCACTACCAAACCAGAATAATTGTTTGTGGTTGTTCTGGGGGAAAGAGGCTTCACATTTCCTTCTTCACTCCTGGTTATAATACTCATTAGACATTCAGCTGAATCAGACTAAGGGTTCATCTAGATTCTAGAGTTTTTTGCAAATGGTAGCTAACCAGATGTTTCTGGGAAGCCCACAAGCGTAGTACCAAATAAATGGCCCACTCCCATTTTTCTAGCATTGCAGTGGCAAATCAGGCGCTCTCTTGATGTCATTGGACAACAGTTCTCATCATCCCTGACCATTGTCCAAGTTGGCCTGAGCTGATGGGAGATGGCATCCCAACAACATCTGAAGAACCACAGGTTCCTCATCCCTGTTCTTGCAGCTGCTATTACACAGTCTTTGAACATAACCTTTGATAAACTTATCCTCCATTAATTTGTCTAACCCTTTTAAAAAGCCATCAAAGCTAGAGGATATCACATCTTGCAGTGATGGATTTCATAAGCTAATTCAATGTTAATGGCTGATTGGAATAATCAGACATACTGCCTATGCTTTCGACATGGGGGAGGAAAGGTATTGCTCCCCCCATGGTGACTCTTTTAGTGGTAACCAGGCCACCCAGTGTTGTTGGTGGTTGGAAGACTTTGCCTGCCCTTTAGGGTTGTACCCAAGTGCCACACTTTACCCCTCGCTTTCCAAAGAGAGTGAATGAATGAAAGATAGCCATTAATCTGCATAGGGGGAAAAATGCACACATTGGGATAGAGATAACTGTCTCAAGTCCCTGATTATCATAGTGCCTGTAATGAGAAGCAGGTTTCCATCTAAACAGTCCCAGTCTGCATTTTTTTCCTTTGTCCAGTAAAGCTCAATGGGAACCTGAGAGGCATAGTAGCAACTAACTACAAAGCCCTACCATGGCCTGGATGCTGTTTCTTAGAACATAGGTAAAATTGAGACAAGATAATTGTCTTTTTGGAACTTGCTTTGGTATATGTGGATTGCAGCAAGTATTCTGAGAGTTTGTGATAGCAGTCCCCTGCAGCACACAAAGGAATCATAGAAGTGGTATGTTATGCTTCTACATAACTTTAAGGTGCTTAATTAACACCATGTAAGTGATATATACTGGCAGATTACTTTAGAATGTATGCTGGAAATTCCCTATCATACCCCAGGGTATATGCTTCTACCCAATTTTTGATCCATATAATCTTAGCAGGTTGAGTTGCAGTAATTTTGAGCCATTCCTTAGAATGCATATTACATTGCCAGTAGTGAAGGAAATTATTTTGCCTCATGCACTAATGAGAGACCATAACTTTCTAGTGCAGTGGGCCTCGGGCCACTTTTAGGTGACCCTCAGTGCCTCAGGCTGACCGGGGCCTCCCCACTTGCCTACTGTGCCCCATAGCCTTTTAGTTGAACCAATGCCAGCAGGAGTGCCTTGCATATTGAGTAAGAGTGCATGGGGTGGAGTGGTATCAGTTGGAGGAGGGGACATCTCTTCTAACAAAGTGTTGGAGGTGTTGAAAGCCATTAAAAAGTGAGATTAAAAGTTATTTATTATTAATAACCTTAAAGATAAAAATAAATTAGGAATAGAAAGGAAGGGTGTGAGAGAGAATCTGTTATAGGAGGAAGAATAGAATATAAAATGACCACCAAGGAGGAATGGGAAAATGGCAGGTTATTGGGGGGGGTGTATGTGTGAAGGGGATAAGGTAAAGATTCAATGTAAAAGGAGACTGGGCTTCAGTTCTTTCCAGCTATTTCAATATTTTTAAGTGCTGCACTGACTATTCTGGAATAGCTACCTTTCCTGGTTCTAACATAGGTTAAAATCCATACTTCATACATTTAAAATTCATATACTACCTACAAGTAGCATTTGGTTAAGGGATAAATACTGTAATTTGTATTAAGTGACTTTAAATATGCACCACAAATTAAATAAAAGGGGATACACATACCCTTTTTCATTTAAAAGTGCACAGAATAAATTCAAGTACTGGACAATGAAAACAGGATCCGTTCCGGAGCCCCGTTCGCATTCTGAACAGAACGTAAGACGCGTCTGCTTGTGTGTGGGTCGCATTTCGCCGCTTCCGCACATGTGCGTGATATCATTTTGACCGTCTGCGCGAGCGGCGAAACCCGGAAGTAACGCGCTCCGTTACTTCTGGGTCGCTGCAGAGCGCAACCCAAAAATACTTATCCTGAAGTGTATTTATCCCGAGATATGACTGTACAGGCAGTTTTCCATTTACATGGGGCTTATGTTCCGATGCACTGCATGTTTAAATAAAATTGTGTATATTGGAACACCATTGTGAAAGGCTGCAAACACCCTCTCCACCAAACTCTTCCACAGTTGCTCCCTCTAAACCTCCTTGCTCAAGCTCCAACTCCCCACAGGCCTCAAAGGTTGGTGCAAAGACTCCCAGGATTGCATTTGCAAAGGCTCCTGGGATTGCTATTTTCGTGCCATTTTGCCATTTATACGCTCTTTTAGGACTGTTTATGCCCCTATTCCTGCCACTTCCTGGT